ATCTTCCAAGTCTTGTTACGTAAGTATTTTTTAATACATTTTTTAAACAAATCGTTTTTCGAAGATCTATTAACTTTTAATATAGCAAATTATAGAAACGGCGATCTGAAATTTGCATATATATTTTTTTAATACGAAACTATGTATCTAGTATGTATCAATATTTATTATTTATAATATTTTCAATCATCATCCGCATGATATTCTTCAACATATTTATGGAACACAGGATTTCACTAATTATGTGCAGAATCAATAATTTTTTGAAAATAATTATATTACATTCACATAATGATGATTGTATCAAGGCGGTTAAAAGAGATCGAACTTTGGATTCATTCATAACTGTTTATCTGCTGTGCTTTCGTTTCCGTCTCATTTGTTATCTCTTCCGATAAACATTTTAATACAAACAATCATTAACTGCTCCTAAAAAATACCGATTTCCATCAACAGGAACGTCACAGCAATTATGAAAACAATTGTTAGAATTTTTGACACAAGCTGCGTAACAATTTATTAAATCGTCCTAAATACATAGTTCAAAAGATGTTAAAATAACCTTCGCATTTTCAACTAATTTGGCAACACATTACGCAAAACGCATCAGAATTTCTGTGATCAGAGAGGCTTCGGTTAAAGTGACGCTCAGATTATACACAAAAATGGACAATTAGGGAGAATTTACTGTACTTCTTTCGTTCACGTCTAATTAAACGGGTATTTATTAGAATTCATCAACATTTTACAATATAATATAGGAAAATATACACACGAATGCTGCAACACTGTAAGAACGCAGCGTTTAACACGGCTACAGTAGCCCAGAGAATCCTCTAAGAACACGCAGAGGAGAAGGCGTACATTACGTTACATCGTAGCACATTGTATCAGTTCCACGACGATTTAAAAAATTGCCCGACTCCGGTACCCTTCCGACGATGACAGAGTCGACAGAATATTACAGAGATTCGCCGGAGTTAATTCCCGTGGGCCGTGGAGGAACTGTTTTAATTAGAAAATCTAATTGATGGCTGCGTATGGTGTGGCTGCCGAGCAATCCATAAACGACTTCTTAGGGCTGTGCACCTGGCCAACACGGCGTTAATTACTCACCTTCTGCGGCCGGGTCCTTCCATCTCTCGGCTCCCCTCTCTCTTTCTCATTCTCTCTCACTCTCCCGTTTTCACACTCTCGCACACACTTCTCTCTCTCTCTCTCTCTCTCTCTCTCTCTCTCTCCCCCCCTCCCTCGCCCTCTCTCTCCCCTCGTGTGCCCCTCGCCGACACCGTTCTCGTTTTTTACGAGCTCTCTTGACTCGTGAGCCTGAAAGAGTCGCGAGTGTAGGAGAATAAAGGGGCGAGACGGAGGGAAAAAGAAAGGAAAACGTCGAATCGCCGAGAGGGAAAAGGAAGGGATGCGATGTTAAAGGTGGTAGGGTGACGAAGAGAGAGCGGGGTGGGAGGGAAGGGGGGGGGGTAGAGCAGAAGGAGAGAGCAACAAGTGTCTCCCGTCGCGAGGCGCAAAAGCATTCCTAATTACGCCCCTGCCCTTGGAGCGAGACGAGACAAAAAGCGCGTTGATTACATTTTCGTATAATTTCATCGGTCGGCTCTCGCCATTAAGAGCCACCACCGCGCGCAAATTAGATCGATTCTTTAATGCCCGGAGCCGCGTAATTGGTTCTCATTCTCGGAAGCTGACGATGAAATCGGATATCTGTCGTGCACCAGACGGGTGGACCACTGGGACCAATGGACCCGGTGGGGCCACTGGGACCGGTCAACGTAATTGCTTCTCCGACTGTTCTGCGGTTCCGCGCGCCGAAACCGCCTCGGCCCCGGCGAATATCGTTAATGTCGCGATACGCGCGTTCGATAATGAAGCGAGAAACGCTTTTTGCCGGACACTTTGCGGGATGTTAATGAATCGTAACGCGCCGCGGCGTTGAGATAATTCTCAACGCGCAACGAACGACCCGCGATCTACCGAAGGCTCTTCTCCCGCGGTCGCGGTCATTACGCGTGCCGTCATTACCCCCAGGAATTGGAAATATTCGCGGATGCGCTGATCTTCGACATATTGTCGCTATTTAAGTAACTCCTCGCGCGCGGATGTACCCGTTCTGGTGTCATAAAACAGCGTAATAATTATGGTACTTTCAACGTTAACTATTTTTGTCTCATAAAGTCTGTGCCAATATACTTCGCACCCGCATGCCTCCTCTCGGAGTACCTGACAAAATTGCTCATAACTATAGTACTCTAAATATAAACGATTTTTGTTTCATAAAATCCGTATCATTACGCTGCGCGCTTGGGTGTCCCCTCCTAGGGGACACAAAGCTGCTGATAATTGTGATACTTTCAAAAGTGACCATATCTGCTTTAGAATATGCAATGATGTGAATGACAATTGTGAACAGGCACAAAGTAACATTTACACTTTTACTGATATTTAATCAATAACGTAAGAAGAGATCGTATTTGTGTAGTTCTGTGTTAGAAATAGTGGAAAATAGAAATATACAAATATAGTTTTTGTTCAAATATCAGTAAAAATGTGAATGCTGCTTTGAGTCTGCTTTAGAATATGCAATGATGTGAATGACATTTGCGAACAGGCACAAAATAACATTTACATTTTTACTGATATTTAATCAATAACGTAAGAAGAGATCGTATTTGTGTAGTTCTGTGTTAGAAATAATGGAAAATAGAAATGTACAAATATAGTTTTTGTTCAAATATCAGTAAAAATGTGAATGCTGCTTTGAGTCTGCTTTAGAATATGCAATGATGTGAATGACATTTGCGAACAGGCACAAAATAACATTTACATTTTTACTGATATTTAATCAATAACGTAAGAAGAGATCGTATTTGTGTAGTTCTGTGTTAGAAATAATGGAAAATAGAAATGTACAAATATAGTTTTTGTTCAAATATCAGTAAAAATGTGAATGCTGCTTTGAGTCTGTAATTATGCACATCGCTGTATGTTGGAAAACATGCTTCTACCAAATTTTATTTAATTCTTTACTGTACTGTGACGAGTCTGACACTTGCGATAAAAATTGTACGATACCTGAATAAATGCAATCTTATCATTACTAGAAAGTAATGTATGTCAGTCATGTCAGTCATGTTTAAACTATTATGATCTTGTACAAAAGACTCGCACATCAACGAACCTGAACTCGTTTTAAAGCCTGAAGCTTCTGCTTTCGCTGTGCATCGTTCATTTTCTTGTAGCATGATTTTGCGTAATGTAGAATGGTGAAAAACTGGAGACATGCTCTTTCTTGAAAATGTTACCCATTGAAACGTCTGTAAGTACATTAGAAAATTTTGTTCGTGACTGATCCTAATGTAGATTTGAAGGTTAAAGTCTTCCCTTTACATTGACCACTGATATATGTACATATGATTGTAATCTTTGGTGTACGATTTTTTAGTCACTTCATTGAGCTTTGAATTAAAGTATACTCTACAGTGAGTACGAGATACACAAAGATTTACACAACCGAATTATGTTCCTCGTTTCTGTTCCATAATGCACTTAAAGAAAATCGTACACCAACTTTTGAGAAATCGTTGTAAAGAGGAAGTTTCAATCTTCAAATCTGTGGTAGATTCATTCGCGAAAAAAGTTTTCCAACGTTTTTGGAGACGTTCCAATTTGTAGTATTTTCGAGAAAATCTATGTCATCAATTTTCCACCTTCTGTATTACATAATCACATTTTAGGGAGAAATGAACAGTGAAGATAGAAGTTTTTGAATATTTCAAGCTGAAAATATATACATGTTAGTTTTTATTTTCTTTATTTCACGAATGGCTCAGTTACACCACACTTGTAAAAAGTAAGATTTTCCCTTTCATTTCTCATGTATAATTTGTGACACAAATTGTTTTCACCTAGTTTATTTTAATTCCCCATCACCAGAACTAATTCGTTAATTATATTTTTTGACCAATTATTCTTGACCACTTCCCAACATTTGTCCAGTTTTCCATACAATATGGATATATTTAAGATATTAAAAAATATTTGTAATATTTAATTTCATAAATCAATTCATCAATGATTTACAAAATTTGATCAAAACTGGTAGTAAATGCGAATATATTTTCCATAGTCATTTTACATGGGTAGAAACATTACAAACGGTACAACATTTACCTTATGGATTACTAAAAAACTAGAAAGATTTAGGTTTGTTTGCTATATCACCAAACTATATTGATAACACAGTGACTCAAAGCAGAAGTGACGCAGAATTTTTATCGAAAATCAATTTTAATTAGAATTCATTAAACAAACCAAAGTTAGGATTCATAAAATGTCAGAGAGTTGCAGAAACGATTGCTATAATAAATTTCGTATTTTCTCTTCTTGCATTATAAAATAAATTATTACATAGTTAAGGTTCAGTAGATCTAACATCGAGAAAATTTGTAAATGGCGCGTGCAAGTTTACATCGACAGCGAATTAAAAATTATAATATGCATTTCCTGTTACAGTGGTACAGCGTGGACACAACGAAGATTCGGGACGATTTGGTGTGTTTATGGATTCCACTCGGTTCAGGCCCCCAGTACGACCAACCTGACAAAACTGCGGAAATCTTCCTGATGAAATCCGTTGAGAGATCTGACTCCTTACCACTACAAGCATGGCATTCCCTGGCAAGATCTGCTCTGTCCTGGTTCATCAGTCGCACATCCATAAATGGGTGAGTGGCAGCTAGTTCAACTTTCTTAAGATTACAAAATTTATTCTTCGCTATTAGAGTGTTCCAGAAAATAGTACCTACGTATATCAAAACTTTGGTTTTTCTAATAAGGAAACTTCGATATCTTGAAAGTTCCATTTTTGAAACTTTACAATTCCGCAGGAGACCTTGATAGTACCGAGCAATCCTCTTTCTTGTGGGCGCAAACATCGCTTTAAATTCATTGTGTCTCTTCTTATTTTCATATTACAGATGCTTTGTTGTTTACACAACCGCGTAGGGAGATTCTAATTAAAATATTACCTATTGACGACCGAATACAATGAAAATCGGATTTAATCTTTATACATTCGTGTAAGCGACAATTCAGTAATTTACACTTTTCAGATGTTGTGAAACGTTTGATTTCTTCCTGTTTATTTCGTAAAATGCATTTCTCTAAAATATGACAATATGAATGGAACATAATTTATTGATTTAGAATAACTATATCTGAAGAGAGTACAATAATGTCAGAGTAAATTGATTTTTGCTATTGTTCTTTAAATGATCATTATGCAAGCACGAATCTCCTATAACGAAGTATTAGACAAAAATGGGCTGTGTGTGTGTGTGTGTGCAATTACTTTCACTTTTGTTAGTGTCAAATATACTGGTACCAATATTCATTCGTTTGCGCCTGCACGAAGATAAAATTAATCTTAACAACATATAAAGTTATAATATTAACCACATCCAAAATAATCCAGTACTTTTGATTGTACAATCATAAATATTAATAATTTGAAATTGTAAAGGATTTTTTAAATATTGGAAACGTATCTTTAAAACAATGAGACCATACATCAAGGTCTTGTACATTGAGGAGAAAATTCGAGGGGGAAAATAATTTGTTTGCAACATTAAAGAATTTACGATAAATTTTTACATAAGATGGCTTTTATACTTGACCAGTAAACATAACACATACAAAACATAACGGACCACAGATTTTATAATTTTTATTAAGCAATCATCGTTACGCTGCTGCCAGAAATTCGTCATTATCACTTTTTAACAGAACATAAAAACCACTCTTAGAGCTCTTAACGGGACTATAAAGTATATTATCTTATAACAATGGCAAGATTGGATTTATTTAAACTTCATACGATTTCCTCAAATACAATAATCAAGAGTTCGATCAAGATTTATTTTCATTCGTAACATTTTCAGTCACTTGAAAATAATCGACCAGCGTTGTTAAAATTTCCCCATGCATTTACTGTGTCGTATTCTACCTACTCAATTTTTTCATAAATGCATGAAATCCGCAGTAATGTATGCTTGAATAAAGAAATTTATCTGAAAATTTAACTTTTATAAGTTGAAAACCAGACATTTTGACTGGGTTTGGTAGTTCTGTCACTTATGTCAACGTGTTAATTTCCCAATGTAACAAACTGCACTCCTCAAAAACTGTCTACTTACAAAGTTTCGTTAAAAGTTAGTACATAATAAAGTTACTTCCACACGCTATTTGTTAACGCATCACAGAATATTCAAAACATTCATGAAACACTCAAACGATCTCAAACGATTCTTATTCTACGATTATTGAAATTATGAAGACACATCCACCGGAAACCATTCAATAAATTTATTTATCCCAACGTATATTAATATAAAAATTGGAAGAAATCTAATTAAAAATTCAATACTGTAATTCATGTAAGGCAACGCAGACGAGTCACTTTCAACAACCCGGTACTCATTAAATTCCGCCGCGCGTTTCGAAGAAAAATAACATTTCCGCCTAATCACCGCATCAATGGCCAAAAATATTCGACCTGGAATAGTAATATACCAAAGTAGACACATCGCTTGACCGATAATCCTTATCGAACTATCTCGACGATAACCCAATTTTTCCGCGGCAATGCTCCGGCGTCTCGTCTGGGTCGGCCGTAAATGAAAATTGCAACGAAACAATATCACATTGTTGGAAGTTTTCTATGGTCGTCGGGGCAAGGCCTCGGCCTACCAAAGGCAGATCGTTGCGCGAGGTGATGAAAGGAGGCTTTCCCTTCTCGCCGGTTAATTAATAACCACGCAGATACGATCTCCGCCTATCTCGCTGTCCGATGAAGCTCGACAAGCTGGTGGCAAAGGCCCTAGCCATGGCTGTGCCGTTGCTGGCTCGGCTCTTAAGGCAGGCCCCGACGAACAAACAAGGAGAGAAGGAGAAATAGGGGGCGAGAGAGAAAGAGAGGAAAGTTTCGCTGGAGAGAGACGGAGAGAAAAAGAGAGCGAGAAAGAGAGAGAGAGAGAGAGATAAGAAGAGGCAGAAAGAGAGAGAAAGTAAGAAGAGGGAGAGAGGGCACGGCCCGGAGAGAAAGAGGAAGAGAAATGGTTATTGATGACCAGCTTTGTTTGCCCCCCGAACCGTTTATTAAAATCCAACGCGGGTGATTAACCTCTCCCCGACTGCGTCGTCCTGACAGCTACCAGGCGAAATACCTCCGCGGCTCCGGTGTGTATATAGGATTGACCGGGGAACCGTTTATTAAAATCCAACACGGCTATCCGAGCTACTAGGCGGAACAGCTCCGCAGCGCCGCTTCATGAATTAGAATGATGTAGAAGTTTCTTGCGGTGCCCCCGCGCCGGGTCCCTGAATTGAGCAATTAACGCATTACGAACCGGACACGTCTCGAGTCCTGTCCGCGCGGGGATAAATTCCTGATAAAATATAGATTTTCGTGAATCCGTTTTATTGATCGTAAACGAGGATGAAACGCATCCCCGCGGCGCGTCCTCCGTAAAAGTCAATCCGCCGAGATAGTTAATATTGTTCGTAATGCTGTAAATAAGCGTAAAATATGGAGAGGGCGAGGGGTGATCGTGCACGCCGATGGATGTTGTAACTGGGACGAGTGCGAGTACCGTGTAGAAAAGCAACGTTCGGTTATTCTACGCGAATGTTGCCGATCTGGTAGGCTAGATTAACATTCGGGGACAATGTGGCGTGGATAAAGGTACCAATTGCTGCGGACACGAGTTTTCGTTGCGCTGTCTTCCACTGCTCGATTTCTTATGAAAAACTGACTCTTGAATGGTTCTTTGTAACGAATAATGCACTTTGAAATACGAAAAAGATGTACGAACTGTGAGAATGTAACCTGAGATGAGAAAAATATCGAAAATCGAACGTTTCGTGCGAATTACTGCGGGCGAAAATGCGTCGTGTACGAATTATTGTTTAGGTTTTATATATAAAAACTCTGTTACGAAGGGTGAAAACGTAGAAAACTCATGGAAATAATGGAAAGAAACGGTTTTTGGCTGTACAATAAACGGAAATTATTTATCGCAAAAATTATATATTAAATTAAACATGAGCAATTACAATTTAAAACGGTAGAAAAATTACGAGAAAATAAGATAATATTGCAAAGAAATTCCTAAATATGAGACCTGTTTCTCGTAAGAAATGTAATCTAATCAAGAAAATCTAATCATGACTGAATTGTTTCATTGCACTGCGTATTAAACATTAAATATTGCGTGAAAATGAAACATTCGCCGCAGGGTTATAACGCCAAGCTGATTCTAATATAGATATTGGATCTAATGACGAGACCTCTCATAAAAACGACCTCCGACATTTAACGGAATAGCTTGACGTGTGTAATGCGTTTGTTCTTTCAATTGAAATTAAAAATACAGCTTATGCGGAATAGGAAAGTAAAGGGTAGCAAAGGTAAACAGGATTCTGCGTTCCAAATTGCCTCGTCTTATCGTTTGGCCGTTTGCCATGAAATATTAAGATAATCTTCTCCTACATATTCAAAGAATAATTCGACGATATCAGATAATATTACTCACGCTTAATCTTTCGACTTTCGTAATCTCTCATCTGGGCCGAGCACCTTAAAACTCAAATGGGGTATCATCTTGGGGCACCTATACATATTTCGAACTCTTTAACATTTTCTTTTTTAAGTTCGTATGATTTATTAGGTGAGTTTAATTTATTCGTATCGAGAAAATAATTTACTCGGTTTCAATTTATTTTCGTGCGTGTCAGACGAAACGAACGATTCTAAAGAATCAATTTATATACTAAATAGAGATCAAATAGAGATATAAATTAGATTATACATTTTTTTTTTTTTATTTCAATCCAAACTTTTGCATTAATGTTTTTGATACTTTTATAAATATATAGCCTCGACTTACACTTTGTGATCGCAATAAAACGAGATATTTTGCAATTTTATTGATTATGAAAAGTGTTAGGATTTTCCTAATTATTCGATTCAGGAGGACATTTATTTTGAATGACGTACAATAGAGACTCTCTTATCCGAACATTTATTTTCACAATATTATGATATCCAAAGGTTCCCTTATCTAATCATTGTATTATTTAGATACATTATCGCTTAGTAGAAAACTTGAATGAAATTTCTAGACAATAAAATGTTTTGGTGTCAGGATACAGTAGAACTTCGATTATACGAATTCAAAATTTCTTTTTATTTTCGATGAATTGTTAATACAATAGTAGTATAAGATGATAAGTCGAGGTTTAATCGAGATGTTTCTATAGTTTATTTAGTTTCATAGTTTACTATAGGTTACTTAGTTTTTTATTAGTTTAGTTCTATCGTTATTATTTGAGAAAATAATCAACAATATAAATAATAAAGATCGAGGAAAATTTTACGAGGTTAACCGAGATTCTACTGGATTACGAAAATAAATCTTCGGACAAGACAGTCTCTACTGTATGTCGATTTCAACACATTTTTTTTAATCTGACACTTTGCACATGTTTCTATTATTCTTTTGTCACGAGACTCATACCGCTTCAATCCAGTTTACTTAATGATATTTGTATCGCTCGTGGATTAGTACACACTCTGCGCAATCGCATCATTGACAATTGTCGTGTACAATGTATGTATGTATGTATGTATGTATATATGTATGTATGTCCTCCAGCTTATCTGATA